TCAGTGAGTTATACCTAAGAATTACAGGCCTACAGTAAAAAAACAACATATTTCCATGCAAAAAAGTACCGTTTTGAGGACAGAAATACTGACATAATCAGACCGCTTGGGAGATCAAGAAAGATGACTTATTTTCAGTATTTTATACCAGAAAAGAAAAACATGTTTTTTTCAAAGATTTCAGTATTTTCTCATTCAAATAGCAAAAAATAAAAACCAAGTGGTGTAGCACTACCCTCGCGAGGGCCGCTGGTATGTTGCCCCGATTTCCCCTTGCTTCACCCTGCAGCAAGGCACACACACACACACACTTTGGATCATTGTCTTCAATGATAAGTCTAGGGGATGTTTTCTTTTTGGAGTTTTATTGTTGAAATGAGGATAGGGATGGGGAAATGTAGTAGGATACTCCAAAATTAGAACTATTCACAATGAGGACATCTGAACTTATCTCTCAGTTGAGCAATGTACAAGTCCTGGCTCAGAGCAGATAGCGGACTTCCTTGGAACATATAGGAGCAAGTGGTTTTAGGAGTGAGCCAAGTCCCTCTAGCTCAGGGGTGGGCAAACTTTTTGACTTGAGGGCTGCAATGGGTTCATATATTGGACCCGGGGCCGGACTAGCTGCTGGCCGGCCCAGCCACTACCATGCCATCCATAGTAAGTATAGTAATATTCCCCCATAGTAAGCATAGTAATTCATCCCCCCTATAGTAATTCATCCCCCCTATAGTAATTCATTCCCCATATTAATTCATCCCCCATAGTAATTCATCCCTCATATAGTATTTCATCCCCCATAGTACTATTCCCCCCCAAGTAGTAAGCCAAGATCCCCCTGTGTCAATTTACTTACCTTTGCTCCGCGCGTTCCTCTCGCCGTGTTCCCGCGCCGTTCCGGTCTTCAGGGCGGACTGTGAGAGGAGCCTAGCTCCCCTCACGTTCATCACGCTGCCCCACCTACACACATCCTGACAGCCAATCACTGGCTATCAGGATGTGAGTGGCAGCGAGACTGGCTAATCATTGCATTTGAGCGCGCTGAATGATGCAAATGTTTGCCTGCCCTGGCTGTTTTTTTTTTTTTGTGTATCACGCTCCGCGGGCCGGATTAAAAGGTCCGCCGGGCCGTATACGGCCCGCGGGCCGTAGTTTGCCCATTGCTGCTCTAGCTGTAGTAGTAGTAACAGGGTTGAGCTCCTCAGGTACAGGCCCATTACAGCAGACTGCGACAGTCTAGAAGTGATAGAAACCAAGCAAAGTCCTTTGCAGTAGCATCAATGGGACAAGCTCTTCAGAACACCAGCCAGTGTTCCCTTTCTCAGACCCAGTCAGCTCACTGTGAATCCAGGGCAACTCTCTCTATCTTCAGGCTCTCAGGTTGACCCACCTGAGGCCACCTGGCAGCAAGTGCCAGGTGAGGAAAGCCTGCCTCCAGCCTGGCTTGGTGCAATCCACTCCCGGGAAAGACACTGAACCCATGTGCTCTCACAATGTAAATACCACTCTCAGCATGCAAAGGGGTCACCCTGCCCTGCAATTGGCCAGGGCTGTATCCATATTCACACTGTTAATTTGCCTAGCCCCTACCCATGTTCTGGAAGGCTCTCATAGTTTCCTAAAGGCAGACAGAACTCAGACAAACTCCAAGAACACCAGAGCATCATGAGCAGACCTAACTAATCACTCACAGCACTCTATTATCCAGAATATCACACTGAATTTACCTGACAGCCTCTCTGATAAGCAGAGAAAACATAGCTATGCTTAACGTAACTATACAAATCCTCACTATGAAGGTGCTACAAATAAATGCCACCAAAAAAAAAAACTTTGTCTCCAAAAAATGATATCAATTTAATTTGACTACAGTGTTGCTTTCCTGAGTAATTGGCATTCAAAGTGTGACAAGACTGAAAACTGAACATTGTCCTGGGCAGGAAGGGGATAAAAGTGTATTGTACTGGTATTGAAGTGGTTAAGCAAACACCATAAAGAGTGTATATGGACATAACATTGTTCAATATGTATAACAGCACCAATGTCTCAAGTATAAACAGGAGAGAAAAATACGGGACTTCCAAAGTACTAGAAAATAGTCATAAAGTACTTACAATGTAATAAAAATTGATAGTCTTTATGTGACCTCATAAAATTGTACTCAGTCAAGCCTGATACAGCAAGACTTGCACATAGTAAAAAGTCTTAGGCACAACACCATATAAGCACAACACATATTCCCCATGTTATCTATCTATATTTATTAATAATGGGAACGCCATCTTTTAAAAATACAACATTTTATAGTATAATCACAACATTATTGAAGAAGATAAGCAATCAACTCAACGCATTTTGCTGAATATCTCCAACTTCTTTAGAAGTTAAAGGTGAGTAAAAAAAAATAACCAAAACTGTAAATAATTACAAATAATAATATTAAATAGAATAAAACAATTAAATAGAATAAAAAAATTACAAATATATTATTTTATCATGTGTACTCTTCTGGGTGTTTATTTCTATTGGACTATTCAGGATGTATCCTTTTATACATAGCTATGGATGAGTTTTACATGATTGACTAAACAGTACTGTAGATATGTGCGAGTATACTCTATCTGTCTGCTTATTTATAAACCTTATTAAGTAGCTATCAATTTTAAACAATTCTCTAAATCTTTGGGGTTGTGTTCTCCTGTGGTCTTTGGCAGTGTCTCCTCCCTTTTCCTGTCTTGTAAATGCTGATATCCACATAGTTGCATATTGCTGGTTTTTATCTTGTGTGTAAATATACATGATAAAAAAACAGGGTAGTACTACCCCCGCAGGGGCCGCTTGATAATGCTTGTCCCCAGTAGTTGCCCTGACCTTGCAAGCCTTCTCTGACATCTCTGATACTCTGGATTCAGACATATTTCAACAGTATAGGATAATAATACAAGAGACACAATTCTTTAGTAACACCTCTATATTAGTCTTGAAAAGAGAAGACCACAAGAATAATGGGTTTAGGATATACAACCCCAGTTAACACATAAAAATAGAACACTGATAAAATAGTAATAGCCAGTTAGCAATGTTTAACAAATTATACAGTCTTGAGTAGTATGCTTCAACTAATAAACTGCAACACCAGTAAAAATGGGAAGAAAAGGCTTGTTGACTTATCTCTCTCTAGGCCACTGGCGCCGCAATGGTGGATGCAGAGAACTATGTAAATGTTTACTCTGAGAAAGATATAAGTATCCTAATTTGAATAATAATGGCCTTAAAAGAGAGGGGATCCCTTTAACTGGAGATTGCAACTTGAGCCCTGTCATATTCAAAGTTCCTCATGTGGTGATATCCATTGTCTACTGCTAGCAAAGGTGGGGGCCCATAAACAGTAGTGAATACTGGTAATTCAATGAAGTTAAACAGATAGGCTGTGGTACTGCTTAAAGCAAAGATCCCCTGATACTGAGGTGTTGTAAGGGAATTCCCATGAGATGGCTGGCGAATAGACGTGCATGCGCACAGAAATGTGCGATCGCGCACACGCACGCGCACACGCATGGCGAAGATTGTCACCAGACGCACTACAGTTCCTTGCTGTAGCATATAGCTGCTCTCTCAGCAACCCTCCCCAGCTATCTGGTAGTTGTAGTTCAATCAGCACTCTATAGGAATACAGGATGTATTGGCTATAGGTCTATAAGTCCCAAGATCATCTGCTGTAGAAAAACTTAATCCACTCTGCAAACAGGAAGTGATGTAGCAGTCCCAGTGCTGGGCACTAGGGGCAAAACAACCATAGTCTCATCTGTAAATGTCCCTGAATGGCATAATGATATAGCCAGAACCCAGCTACATCACATTTTGTACTTATGTTTTTTTTTCCGACTCTGTAGCTTTTATTGATATTTGTAATTATTTACAGTCTTTTTGTATTATATACTTTAAATTGTTTACCCACCTTTAACTTTTGAAAAAGTTGGAAATATTCAGTGAACCGCGTTCAGCCTATTGCTCATCTTTCTCCAGTAATGTTGTAATTATACTGTAAATATTTTACTTTTGGAATATGGTGTCTTCATTAGGAAAATCAGGCAATATGGGGAACATGAACATGATGTTATTAGCGTTAGGATGTTTTACTATGTGTAATGCAGGCCATAGACGGGGAGAAAAACGGCCGATTTTTCTTTTAAAAAACGAAAAATCGGTCGTTCAAGCGGCCGACGTTACCAGCAATGGTAAAAAAAATCGGCCGATTTTTTATCCAGTCTACAACCGGCAAAAAGTGTCCCAGCAGAGAGCTCTGCTATTTCTTTGGCAGTTCTTTGACATTTATAGCGGTTGCAACAATGTATCTATTTGTATCCATTTACATACAGATGTTTTTATTCGGAAACAAATAGATACAATGTTGCAACCGCTGTAAATGTCAAGGAACTGTCAAAGAACTGTCAAAGAAATAGCGGAGCTCTCTGCAGGGACACTTTTTGCCGTACTGGAATTCCTCTTATTTTTCATCCTTCTTCTTCCTCTTCTTCTTCATCATCATCCTCTTCTTCTTCATCATCATCCTCTTCTTCTTCTTCTTCTTCATCATCATCCTCTTCTTCTTCTTTCTTCATCCTCTTCTTCTTCTTCTTCATCATCATCATCATCATCTTCTTCTTCTTCTTCATCATCATCATCATCCTCTTCTTCTTTGTCTTCTTCTTTTTTTCTTCTTCTTCTTCTTTCTTCTTCATCATCATCATCCTAATCTTCTTCTGCATCATCATCATCCTCTTCTTCTTCATCCTCTTCTTCTTCTTCTTCTTCTTCATCGTCATCCTCTTCTTCTTCTTCTTCTTCTTCTTCATCATCCTCTTCTTCTTCTTCTTCTTCTTCATCATCATCATCCTCTTCTTCTTCTTCTTCTTCATCATCATCCTCTTCTTCTTCTTCTTCATCATCCTCTTCTTCTTCATCATCTCTTCTTCTTCATCATCTTCTTCTTCATCCTCTTCTTTCTTCTCTTCTCTTCTTCTTTTTGTCTTCCTCTTGCAGGTCACTGCTCATGCGCAGATTTTTTATCGGTAAAAAATCGGCCGATTTGCCCATCATTGCCGCGAAAATCGGCCGATCGGCAAAATCGGCCGATTTGTTTTCCAACTTTACCGATAAAAAAAATCTGCCAAAATACCGAAAAACGGCCGAACAAATAGCCCACTAACGATCCGAAAATCGGCCGATTTTATTTTCGGCCGAAAAATCGGCCGATTTTCGACCCATCTATGGCCTGCATTAGTCTTGCTGTAAAAGTGATTGTGTACAATTTTATGAGAGTTCAAAGACTTTCAATTTATATTACATTATCTGTACTGTATGACTTCTCTCTGATAATTCTCTTAATTTTTCTCTCTTATATACCACTGTTAAGCAAGGTGTTTCTTAAACAGCTCAAGTGGAATAAACTCTTGTTGGCTCTAGTGATGTAAAATTTTCAGAAATGTTGAAGCCACAGGAAAAACAAAAACAAAACCTGTTTGTTTCCCAAGTTCTCAATTTTTGTCCATGCCTTCCCACCTCTAGTTGGCTCACAGTCTGCACAAACATCAGAGGACATTAATTGACTGTTGTAAACTGCTGATGGCTGTCATAAGGAGGACCCTGATAGCCTGAGACCTGTCAAGGGATGTAATCATAATGACTAATTGGGTGCCATAAGATCAAATAACAGGATGCCCTTCCATCCAGGCCTGTCTAGTATGTGATACACATCCAAAAAAGCTTTGGCCATACTTCTCTTTTAAATGATGTATCTTTTTCATAACTCTTGCTATAACCAAGACACCTAAATAAAACATGTAAATACCACTCTGTGAGGAAGTACTGATCATTTTAGGACTAAACACACCTATATGAGGTGGAAAAGACAAATTGGACACATTACTCTTTCTGAGGAGTCTACACTCAAGACCTCATGATTAGTTTCTATTAACTCAGAAAATAATTCTATGTAATAATATGTCAGTTACCTGAATGCAAAATATAGTAATTTGGAAATCTGAATATAATTAGGAAATGTACATGGTGGGAGGATCTTCTTGAAGATTATAAAACCTCTTTTTTCCACTCCTATCTCCCACCCATTAGCTCTTGTGATTGGGTGAAGGAAAGGCTCAGTTAAGGGGGGTCTGCACTGGAATGTCTATACTGAGGGGAGTCTATACTTTGGGGTATCTATACTGGGATGTCTGCTATGAGGGGTCTTTTACTGGGGGTCTGTTCAAGTGGAGGCATCTGTACTGGGAGTCCTGCACAAGCTCATTCTCTACTGGGAGTGTCTATCCTTAGAATGTCTGCTCAGGGGCATGTCCATAGTTAACTGCATTGAAGCACGCTACCATACTTTGCAGAGCACTGTGTTTGGAAATTATTTAGCATTTTTTATCTTTGATGTGAAAGTCTTACGGAGCTTCTATACTGTTTCCTCCCCCCCTAGGGGTTGTATCCTTCACGGTTGGTTCCTCACATAGGTCAATCTCCACCTGAGGTCGATCCTTCTAGTGGGCTGGAAGAGTTGGAAGTCTGTACTGCTGTCCCGTCTGTGTGCACTGTCTCAACTGTAAAACGGGGAAGAAGGTATACCCCTTTTATGGAGGACAGACAGCAGGACCTTTTTGACCAGAGCATCATCAGCATAGTGAATGTGCGTGTACTGAGGGTTGTCTTTACTGGGTGGGTCTGTAGTGAAGTCTTTACTGTAGGGTCTATGCTGGGTATACTGTAGGGTCTGTACTGGGTATGTCAATTGAAAGGTCTGTACTCAGTAGGGGTCTGTACTGATGTGGACTGCCCAGGGTGGGTCTGTATGGTGGAGGTTTAAACTGAGGGGGCTCCACTTGGCTTTTCTGTACTGGGAAATCTGTATTGTGGATCTGTACTGAGAGGGGACTGTACTCAGGGAGTGCTAACTAAGAAGGGTCTGTACAAGGATGTTTTTACTGAGGAGTGTCTATACTTGGGGGGGGGGGGGGTTTACTGGGGTGTCTGTACTGAGGGGTATTTGTAGTGGTGGTTACTGGGGGTCTGTACTAATGGAGGGGGTCCGTGATTGGGAAGAATCTATACAAGGTGGGCTTTTTTTTGCATAGTCTAGGTCAGTAGTAAGAAGTGCACCTGTAGCTCTTCTACAGCTTGTGCCTATCTGCCTTATATTGGCACTATATCCACTAGAGCATATTTATTTTTCAGTAGAGTAGGGCCTGGCCAGAGAGGGATTAATTTGACGCAGCTGGCCAGCTTAAACATGTATTGAAATACAATGTGAACTAAAAATCCCTGTTGTTGAAAGTTTTCTAGAAAGGGTGCAGAGCAGTGGGCACATGGTTCATTCAGAATTTCTAGTCCTTACTGGGCCCTCTAAAAGGTTCACAAAAAGAGACAGCATCAGCAGACTGGATCTCTCCTTTATCATCAAACAAAGCTAGCTAACACTAGCTAACAGTCCTTTTATAAGAGCCAACACTCTAAAATACAGTGGTCTCCAAACTGCAGCCCTTTCCTTGCTTTTATCTGGCCCTTGGGGCACTATTACATCCACTGATACCAACAATGGGGCATAATTCCCCCCACAGTCATCAATAAAGGTGCATAAATGCTCCCAATGACACTAATGATGGGGCACAATTCCTCCCAAGGAGATCACCGGTGGGGCGCAATTCCTCCCACTGACACCAAAGAAGGGGTATTGTTTTTTTTTCCCACTGACATTGGAACCTTTTTTATTCCTAATGGCCATAGTCCAGCCCCCCTACAGTTTGAAGGACAGTAAACTGGCCATTTGTTTAGAACATTTGGAGATCCCTGCTAAATAAGTTTATGCCCACTGACTGAAGTTTGCAGAATTTAAAGTACCCAGGACTATAAGTACTTTAAAGTGGTTGTAAACCTCAAACATGAAATACAATCAAAGTATATAGTGTGTGCTTGACTCAATTCAGAGCACTAAGTGTAATTCCTGTCTGCTGCTTCTTTCCTCTGCTAACAGCATGAATCACTTCTGGCAAGTTTTCCCTACACCAAGAGAAAAATGGCTACAGGGGAGGGAGCTCCAGCACACAGCTTGTGATTGACAGCCTCAGCTTTGCTCTTATGTGCTTGGTGAGGGGATGTGCCCTTCCCTCCAGTCAGCTCTTAGCTGTCCTCACTGAGCTCTGCAGTGTGTAATTTCCACTCTCTGTCCCCTGTTTTATGAAAGCTCCCACAACATTTATAAATTCTGGACTTTGAGCGGCTGCGGCGAAGAGAAGACTGCAGATAGACAGGTACAACTTGTGTAGGAGGAATTGCTTTATCTCTGTGTATCACCTGAGGCCAGTCACTTCACTGGGTATATATAAGGGTTTACAACCACTTCAATTCTTACAGGATAAGTTCACCTTTTAACAAAAAATAATAAATGCACATATTTTTACAGTTAAAAAAAATGTGCATTTATTATTTTTTGTTTCTAGAGCCTTTAAAGCATTGCACCAGAGAGCAGCAGATCACTGGTGTCATGCAGGTCTCCTGCAGACTGTCAGTGTACATCCCATACTGGCAAGCAGATACCTACTGACAGGAAGACTCAATGAACTACCTTGACTCTCCACAGTGCTGTGGTAGTTCATTGAGAACTACAAGCCAACAGCCACAAAGGCTTGTAGGGTTCTCATTCACAGAATACTGTGAATGAGTTTTCTTTTTTTTTTCTAAAGAGTGACAGCTAGCAGGGAGAAGACCCCCACTAGCTGTCGCAATGGGGGATCGGAGGGGCACGGGGAACCTTTCCATTCATAACATACACCTTTCAATATTCAACTTATCCTTTAATCCCCTTTCTTTTCTGATGTATTATTGTCTTTCTTCTTTCGCAATAACTTTTTTTGTAAATATTTTGGTTTTTTTTCCTTGTCTTTTATTAAACAATATTTTACAATCATGAAAATGATCTCTAATGCACTAAGCCATAACTTTTTTTTTTTAAGAGTGTGGCAGTGTGCATTACAAACATTTTCTAAAAGTCATAATTGTTATTGTAGATATTGGGAATGGTTTGTGTTCCAAAAAAAACATACGATGGCAGCTATTTGGTGTGTAACAGGTTAAAGGATAAGTTCACCTTTGGAACAGTATTTAGGGTGGAATAGGTAACATGTTCCAGCTCCTGCAGCCTCCTCTCCCCCGCCCCCCCCCCTCCCTGTGACAGCGGTAGGGGGATCTTTTCCGGCCGATGACTTGTAATTCTCAGTGAACGGCGAGGGCACTGGTGAGCACTATCATAGTCCATTGATTCTTCCTGCCATTCAGTAACTGCCTGCCCATAAGAGGTACAGGGCAGATGGTGTACTGAGAGTCTACAGGATCATTGCACCCGTGATCTGCTGATTGTGGATGCAATGCCTTACAGGATGCAGTGTAGGATTACAGAAATTTCATTTGGGTGCAGCATTGCATGAACACGCAATTGTCAGTTAAAGCAACGCAGCGCCATATCGCAGAAAATGGCCTGGAAGGGGGGTAAATCATCTGGAGGGCATCCCACACAGAGAGAGTATCATACAACCAAAAACAAGATATGATTTGCAAGAATTGTAGACAAACAACACCCTTACTAAGTCCCTCCAGCTTAAGGAGCTGGGGAGATAGCTTAAACCGTTGAAGGCAGTCAGAAAGACCACACTTAGACATAATACAGCACATAAACAGGGAAAATTAATTAATTAATTTATTTCAGGTACTTATATAGCGCCATCAATTTACGCAGCGCTTTACACATATATATTGTACATTCACATCAGTCCCTAACCCTCAAGGGGCGTACAATCTAAGGTTCCTAACTCACATTCATACATACACATATTAGGGCCAATTTAGACAGGATCCAATTAACCTACCAGCCTGTCTTTGGAGTGTGCAAGGAAACTGTAGTACCTGGAGGAAACCCACATAGGCACAGGGAGAACATGCAAACTCCAGGCAGGTGGTGCCGTGGCTGGGATTTGAACCAACGGCCCTAGTACTGCCAGGCAGAAGTGCTAACCATTTAGCCACTGTGCTGATAAAACAAATCAAAATAAATTCCAAAGCAGCATTTGTTAGTAGATTATCTAGAACAAAACAAGCAAGGATTCTATGTGAACCTCAATGAAGACAGCGGTGGGCAGTTCAGCTTATTAAAAACACTAATTAGGATGAGTTGTTCTGAGCTAGGGGGCCCTTAAAACAAAAAATGATAGCGGGAGAAAGATACCCGCCCTGCAAAAGAGCAGTGCTGGAGTGCGCTGCAGGAGGAGCAAAGAGAAAAGGAGAGGAAGACAAAGAAGAGAAGGAAACAAAGGAGAATTGGGGAGGGGGGGGGGGCGTAAACATGCCCCAGGGGGAGACATGACAGATGCAGCCCACTAAACTTTATAAGTTATAAATATAAAAAAATGAGAAGGTGGTCGCATAGCTGGGAAATGGGCCAATCACGGTTGCCAGATCTGTAAAAAATTGTAATGCGTAACAGTAAGAAACAACGTTAATTTTTGGTTCACCAATGTACCGTGCTCCCGCCTTTTCACCTCGTCAACGGAGAGGGCCGTTGTTTTCCAACCCTTCACATTTGTTGGTTTTGTGGTCATAAAGATGTGTGTGATTAATAAACGCTCTCTTTTCACTATGCCCGCAACAGGTTTAAGTAACAATGCCTCCCGGGGGGGTCCTTACACAGATTCAGGTACAACGCCATATTGACCATGGTATAAATTTGAATCCATAAGTGTTTGACTTTTGCACACGTCCACCATACTGTATATGCTTTTTATTGCTTGGATCTGAACACCCCCAGAAGCACAAAGTAGGATAAGTGGGAAGGCATTTTGCAATTCTCACCGGGGTATAATACCACCTTGACATCACCTTGAAGGAGTTCTCTAAAGCTACTACATTCTGTGAGGAGGGAAACAAAGCCTTTCTCATCTTGGTCTAGTCTTTTGGGGCCTGTAAGGCACCAAGATCCAAGGCTGGCTGAGCATTTTACCAAATCCCAAAGCGCAAGATATGAGTTAAGAGTGGGTTCAAAGACTTTGGTCCCAGCTGGGCAGGAAGCCAGAGCAGAGACAAGAATGGGATGGGGTCCAAGTCCACTATGTCTATATAAGTCCAGATACATGCTAATTCACCTACTAACAGCTGTATGAGGGGAGCAATTTGGGCCACCTTGTAATAAAATGTTACATTTGGTACCCCCAATCCACTTTTTCCCTTCTGTTTGTAGAGCATGTTCCTAACTAGCCTGGGCAATTCTCAAATAAACGTGAGAATGAGTCGTTGCAAAGAATGCAGTATATGTGGCGAAACCGGCAACACATGAAAAGGGTGCGGTACTTTAGGGAGAAATGTAATTTTGATCGCATGTATGTGGCCTATCTAAGAAATAGGACTTATCCCACATATAGAGCATTCAAGTTAGTGACTTGATGAAGGCATGATAGTTTTGCTGCATATAGCGATTGATAGGTTGGCATTAAGTTAATTCCTAGGTATGGAATGAAGGAGGGACACTGAAAAGAAAATTGGGCTTGCAAAGAGAGCAGAGTGGACTCTGACAAGGGGATGTTTTAAGGCCTAAGACTTGGCTTCGATAATGTGGAGTCCCATTAGAAAGGCAAATTTCTGTAGGAGGGTGAGTAAATTGAGGAGCGAGGTATGAGGAGAGATATACCCTGAATGTTAGGACTGGAGTTGATGTGAGCCACTAAGGGTTCCAAAGCAATTATAATTAACAGGGGTGACAGAGGCAGAAACAGAGATATTTAAATTCTTCAGCCAACCCTTGAAGGTGGTGAGAATTTCCACTGTTCCAGGATTTATGCAGGCCATAGACGGGTCGAAAATCGGCCGATTTTTCTTTTAAAAAAATGAAAAAATTGGTCATTCAAGCGGCTGACGTTACCAGCAACGGTAAAAAAAATCGGCCGATTTTCATCCCGTCTACAGCCGGCAAAAAGTGTCCCTGCAGAGAGCTCCGCTATTTCTTTGACAGTTCCTTGACATTTATAGCGGTTGCAACAATGTGTTTGTATCCATTTAGAATACAGATGTTTTTTATTCGGAAACAAATAGATACATTGTTGCAGCCGCTATAAATGTCAAGGAACTGTCAAAGAAATAGCAGAGCTCTCTGCAAGGACATTTTTTTGCCGGACTGGAATTCCTCTTCTTCTTCATCCTCTTCTTCTTCTTCTTCTTCATCCTCTTCCTCTTCTTCTTAATCATCCTCTTCTTCATCTTCTTCATCCTCTTCTTCCTCTTCTTCATCTCTCCTCTTCTTCATCCTCTTCTTCTTCATCCTCTTCTTCTCTTCTTCTTCTTCTTACTTCTTCTTCCTCTTCTTCATCCTCTTCTTCTTCTTCTTCATCCTCTCTTCTTCATCTCTTCTTCTTCTCTTCTTCTGCTTCTTCTTATTCTTCTTCATCCTCTTCTTCTTCTCTTTTTCTTCTACTTCTTCTTCTTCTTCTTCTTCATCCTCTTCTTCTTCATCATCCTCTTCTTCTTCTCATCCTCTTCTTCTTCTTCATCCTCTTCTTCTTCCTCTTCTTCCTCTGCTTCTTTATCCTCTTCTTCTTCATCTTGCTTCTTTATCCTCTTCTTCATCTTCTTCATCCTCTTCTTCAGCTTCTTCTTCTTCTTCTTCATCTTCTTCTTCCTCTTCTTCATCCTCTTCTTTTTCTTCTTCTTCATTCCTCTTCTTTTTTATCCTCTTCTTCTTCTTCCTGCTTTCTCTTCTTCTACCTCTTCTTCTTCTTCCTCTTCTTCTTTTTCTTCTGCTTCCTTTTCTTCTTCCTCCTCTACTTCTTCTTCCTCTTTTTCTTCATCCTCTTTTTCTTCTATTTTACTTCTTCATCCTCGTCTTCTTCTTCTTCATCCTCTTCTTCTTCTTCTTCTTCTTCTTCTTCTTCTTCTTTTTCTTCTTCTTCTTTTTCTTCCTCTTCTTCCTTCTTCATCCTCGTTCTTCATCTTCATCCTCTTTCTTCTTCTTCTTCATCCCCTTCTTCCTCTTCTTCTTCTTCATCCTTCTTCTTCTTCTTCTTCTTCCTCCTCTTCTTCTTCTTCCTCCTCTTCTTCTTCTTCCTCCTCCTCTTCTTCTTCTTCTTCCTCTTCTTCTTCCTCTTCTTCGTTCATCTTTTTGTCTTCCTCTTGCAGGTCACTGCTCATGCGCAGATTTTTTTATCGGTAAAAAGATCGGCCGATTTGCCATCATTGCCGTGAAAATCGGCCGATCGGCAAAATCGGACGTTTTTTTCCAACTTTACCGAAAAAAAAAATCTGCCAAAATACCAAAAAACGGCGAACAATTAGCCCACTAATGATCCGAAAATCGGCCGATTTTATTTTCGGCCGAAAAATCGGCCGATTTTCGACCCATCTATGGCCTGCATTACCCCTAAAGGGAAGATAAACATAAGACTAGTGCAGGCCATAGATGGGTCGAAAATCGGCCGATTTTTTGGCCGAAAATAAAATCGGCCGATTTTCGGATCGTTAGTGGGCTATTTGTTCGGCCGTTTTTCGGTATTTTGGCCATTTTTTTTTAATCGGGAAAGTTGGAAAAAATCGGCCGATTTTGCCGATCGGCCGATTTTCGCGGCAATAATGGGCTAATAAATCGGCCTATTTTTTTCACCGATAAAAAATCTGCACATGAGCAGTGACCTGCAAGAGGAAGACAAAAAAGAAGAAAAAGAAGAAGAGGAAGAAGAAGAGGATGAAGAAGAAGAGGATGATGATGATGAAGAAGAAGAGGATGATGATGATGAAGAAGAAGAGGATGATGAAGAAGAAGAAGAAGAAGAGGATGATGAAGAGAAGAAAAAGAAGAAGATGATGATGATGATGAAGAAGTAGAAGAAGAAGAGGATGATGATGACGAAGAAGAAGAAGAGGATGATGATGACGAAGAAGATGAGGATGATGATGATGAAGAAAAAGAAGAAGAAGAGGATGATGATGAAGAAGAAGATTCTCTGATGATGCTGATGAAGAAGAAGAAGAAGAAGAGGATGATGATGATGAAGAAGTAGTAGAAGAAGATGAAGAAGAGGATGATGATGAAGAAGTAGAAGAAGATGAAGAAGAGGATGATGATGACGATGATGAAGAAGAAGAGGATGATGATGATGAAGAAAAAGAAGAAGAAGAGGATGATGATGATGAAGAAGAGGATGATGATGAAGAAAAAGAAGAAGAGGATGATGATGATGAAGTAGAAGAAGAAGAAGAGGATGATGATGACAAAGAAGAGGATGATGATGACGAAGAAGATGAGGATGATGATGAAGAAAAAGAAGAAGAGGATGATGATGAAGAAGAAGAAGAGGATGATGATGAAGAAGTAGTAGAAGAAGACCTCCTGATGATGATGAAGAAGTAGAAGAAGATGAGGATGATGATTGAAGAAAAAGAAGAAGAAGAAGAGTATGATGAAGAAGAAGAAGAAGAAAAAGAAGAAGAAGAAGAAGAAGAAGAAGAAGAAGAAGAAGAAGAAGAGGGTCCCCCTTAATGAAGAAAAAGTATAGAAGAAGAAGAAGAGGATGATGATGAAGAAGTAGAAGAAAGATGAAGAAGAGGATGATGATCAGAAGAAGTAGAAGAAGATGAAGAAGAGGATGATGATGAAGAAGTAGAAGAAGAAGAAGAAGAAGAAGAAGAGGATGCTTGATGAAGAAGTAGTAGAAGAAGAAGAAGAAGAAGAAGAAGAGGATGATGATGACGAAGAAGAAGAAGAAAGGATGATGATGATGAAGTAGAAGAAGAGGATGATGATGAAGAAGTAGAAGAAGAAGACCGTGATGATGAAGAGTAGTAGAAGAAGAAGCCGAAGAAGAAGAAGAAGAAAGAGGATGATGATGATGAAGAAGTAGAAGAAGATGAAGAAGGGGATGATGATGAAGAAGTAGAAGAAGAAGAGGACTGATGATGACGAAGAAGAAGAAGAGGATGATGATGAAGAAAAAGAAGAAGAAGAAGAAGAGGAGGATGGCTTGATGATGAAGAGGTAGAAGAAGAAGATGATGATGATGAAGAAGTAGAAGAAGAGGATGATGATGAAGAAGAAGTAGAAGAAGAAGAAGAAGAGAGGATGATGATGATGAAAAAGTAGAAGAAGAAAAGAAGAAGAGGATCCCCTGATGATGAAGAAGAAGAAGAAGAAGAAGAAGAAGAAGAAGAGAGGATGATGATGAAGAAGGAGAAGAAGACGGATGAAAAATTATAAAAGGAATTCCAGTCCGACAAAAAGTGTCTCTGCAGAGAGCTCCGCTATTTCTTTGACAGTTCCTTGACATTTACAGAGGTTGCAACATTGTATCTATTTGTTGCCTCCGAATAAAAACATCTGTATCCTAAATGGATACAAATAGATACATTGTTGCAACCTCTGTAAATGTCAGGAACTGTCAAAGAAATAGCAGAGCTCTCTGCAGGGACACTTTTGCCGGCTGTAGACGGGATGAAAATCGGCCGATTTTTTTTTTACCATTGGTGGTAACGTCGGCCACTTGAACGACCGATTTTTCGGTTTTTTAAAAGAGAAAAATCGGTCCGATTTTCGACCCATCTATGGCCTGCATTAACGCTTAATGCAGGCCATAGATGGGAGAAAAACTGCAGATTTTTCTTTTAAAAAACGAAAATTCGGTCGTTCAAGCGGCCGACGTTGCCATCAATGGTAAAAAAAATCGGCCGATTTTCATCCCTTCTACAGCCAGCAAAAAGTGTCCCTGAAGAGAGCTCTGCTATTTCTGACAGTTCCTTGACATTTACAGCGGTTGAAACATTGTATCTATTTATTTCCATTTAGGATACAGATGTTTTTATTCGGAAACAAATAGATACAATGTTTCAACCGCTGTAAATGTCAAGGAACTGTCAGAGAACTGTCAGAAATAGCGGAGCTCTCTGCAGAGACACTTTTTGCTGGACTGGAATTATTCTTATTTTCATCCTACTTCTTCTTCTTCTTCTTCTTCTTCATCCTCATCATCCTCTTCTTCTTCTTCTTCTTCTTCTTCTTCTTCTTCCTCATCCTCTTCTTCTTCTTCTTCTTCTTCATCCTCATCCTCTTCTTTCATCCTCATCTTCTTCTTCATCCTCATCCTCTTCTTCTTCATCCTCATCCTCTTCTTCTTCTTTTTCATCCTCATCCTCTTCTTCATCCTCATCCTCTTCTTCTTCATCATCATCATCATCCTCTTCTTCTTCATCATCCTCTGCTTCTTCTTCTTCATCCTCATCCTCTTCTTCTTCATCCTCATCCTCTTCTTCTTCATCCTCTTCTTCTTCCTCTTCTTCTTCTTCATCCTCATCCTCATCCTCTTCTTCTTCTTCATCCTCATCCCTCTTCTTCTTCTTCTTCATCCTCATCCTCTTCTTCTTCATCCTCATCCTCTTCTTCATCCTCATCCTCTTCTTCTTCATCCTCATCCTCTTCCTCTTCTTCATCCTCTTCTTCATCCTCTTCCTCTTCTTCTTTTTCTTCTTTTTGTCTTCCTCTTGCAGGTCACTGCTCATGCGCATTTTTTTTATCGGTAAAAAATCGGCCGATTCGCCCACTAATTGCCGCGAAAATCGGCCGATTCGGCAAAATCGGCCGATTTTTTTTTCCAACTTTACCGAAAAAAAAAAAAAACGGCCAAAATACCGAAAAACGGCCGACCAAATCGCCCACTAACGATCCGAAAATCGGCCGATTTTATTTTCGGCCGAAAAATCGGCCGATTTTCGACCCATCTATGGCCTGCATAAGACTCAACTGCCTACATGTCTCGTATAGTCCAACCACAGAGAAAAGGGTAATCACCCTTATCGTGGCAACTAATGCAGGCCATAGATGGGGAGAAAAACGGCAGATTTTTCTTTTAAAAAACGAAAATTCGGTCGTTCAAGCGGCCGACGTTGCCATCAATGGTAAAAAAAAATCGGCCGATTTTCATCCCTTCTACAGCCAGCAAAAAGTGTCCCTGAAGAGAGCTCTGCTATTTCTGACAGTTCCTTGACATTTACAGCGGTTTTGAAACATTGTATCTATTTATTTCCATTAATGCAGGCCATAGATGGGGAGAAAAACGGCCGATTTTTCGTCCCAAAATAAAACCGGCCGATTATCTTATCGTTAGTGGACGATTTTGTCGGCCGTTTTTTTCGTGTATTTTGGACTTTCAGATTATCGGTGATGTTGGAAAATTTTCGAAAAACGCCCGACTTTATCCTCATTGATGGTCAAAAACGAACGATCGTTTTCCGAAAAAGGATCACAAAGGCCACAAAATGACATAATTTCCCGTTATAGGTTACTCATTAATCGGCCGATTTTCGTAATAATTGGTGGTCAGGTAAGTTTTTTAGACCGACCGATAGTTCGTTAATAGGCCGAAAATCTGCCGTTTTTCTCCCCATCTATGGCCTGCATTAGGATACAGATGTTTTTATTCGGAAACAAATAGATACAATGTTTCAACCGCTGTAAATGTCAAGGAACTGTCAGAAATAGCGGAGCTCTCTGCAGAGACACTTTTTGCTGGACTGGAATTCTTCTTATTCTCATCCTCTTCTTCATCATCATCATCATCATCATCCTCATCCTCTTCTTCTTCTTCATCCTCACCCTCTTCTTCTTCTTCATCCTCATCCTCTTCTTCTTCATCCTCATCCTCTTCTTCATCCTCTTCTTCTTCCTCTTCTTCATCCTCTTCTTCATCCTCTTCCTCTTCTTCTTTTTCTTCTTTTTGTCTTCCTCTTGCAGGTCACTGCTCATCGCAGTTTTTTTTATCGGTAAAAAATCGGCCGATTCGCCCACTCTTTGCCGCGAAAATCGGCCGATCGGCAAAATCGGCCGATTTTTTTTCAACTTTTACCGAAAAAAAAAACCGGCCAAAATACCGAAAATCGGCCGACCAAATCGCCCACTAACGATCCGAAAATCGGCCGATTTTATTTTCGGCCGAAAAATCGGCCGATTTTCGACCCATCTATGGCCTGCATAATGCGGGAGAAAACTGTTCCCGATTTTTTCTTTAAAAAAATGAAAAATCGGTCGTTCAAGTGGCCGACATTACTAGCAACAGTAAATAAAAAAATCGGGCCTTTTCATCCCGTCTACAACCGGCAAAAAGTGTCCCTGCAGAGAGCTCCACTATTTCTTTGACAGTTCCTTGACATTTATAGCGGTTGCAACAATGTATTTGTATCCATTTAGGATACAGATGTTTTTTTTTATTCGGAAACAAATAGATACATTGTTGCAACCGCTGTAAATGTCAAGGAACTGTCAAAGAAATAGCGGAGCTCTGTGCAGGTACAATTTTTTGCCGGACTGGAATTTCCTCTTCTTCTTCATCCTCTTCTTCCTCTTCTGCTTCTTCATCCTCTTCTTCATCTTCTTCATCCTTTTCTTCATCTTCCTCTTCTTTATCTTCTTATTCTTCATCCTCTTCTTCTTCTTCTGCTTCTTCTACTTCTTCCTCTTCTTCTTCATCATCCTCTTCTTCTTCTTCATCTTCTTCTTCTTCATCCTCTTCTTCTTCTTCTTCTTCATCCTCTTCTTCATCCTCTTCTTCATCATCCTCTTCTTCCTCGTCATCTTCTTCCTCTTCTTCTTCATCCTATTCTTCATCTTCTTCATCCTCTTTCTTCAGCTTCTTCATCCTCTTCTTCA